TCTAACAAACGCTCAGTTCAGCCCACTTAAATCCTTTTCAGGGTCTACATTCAAAATGCCAGCAGCTAGATCGGTGACCTCTATGCTAGCCTTCATCATTTTTTGACAAAGAGCACTCTTATATATGTAAGTACCTATATGTACTAATCATAATAGCAAGTCACATTTGTATTACATATGAGCAGATACCTATATGTAAAAAAAACGTCCAATACCTGTTGTGTACCTTGTGGCCAGTTACTGGAGGCACAAGGTAGGTGTTTCTTATAAAGTGGCCAGTTAGTGGAAGTACAAGGAAGGTGTTTCTAATAAAGTGGCCTGTTAGTGGAAGCACAAAGTAGGTGTTTCTAATAAAGTGGCCAGTTAGTGGAAGCACAAGGTAGGTGTTTCTAATAAAGTGGCCAGTTAGTGGAAGCACAAAGTAGATGTTTCTTATAAAGTGGAAGCAGAAAGTGGGTATATGTGATAAAGTGGCCAGTGATTGGAAGCAAAAGGTAGGTGTTTTTAATAAAGCGGACAGTGTAGATCCAGATGTTTTATGTTTGCTGTGATTGCGCAGCTGGACTTGTGGTCCGCATGACACACCAACAATTATAAAAACAATGATTGTAATTAAAAGCCCCAAGGGGAAATACAGTCTGAGCTGTGTGTGTCTTCTACAATCAGAGGCTTGTTCTCCAAACCCACACAGTAAAATGACCAGCAGTAAATGAAATATTTTAGAGTTAATGCAGCACTGGAGGATTTACTGTATGCACCACAGAACTCCCTCAGCTTGGTAATGAGGATTGATGAGAAAGGCCCTGCACACATGGTTCTTACATCACGGATGTGGCCCAGTGGAAAGAGGTGGACACACACACACAAACACACCCTCACACGTTATTATGTATATATCATGTCAGGACGTAGGATCATATATATGTCTTATAAGCATTCAGCGTATAAGTAGGAAACTAACGATATGTAAAAGTACAATAATAAATAAAAAAAAATATATAATATATAACATATTTAATATAATATATTTTCTTGGTGCTCTCTCTTGGTGCTCTCTCTCTCTCTCTCTCTCTCTCTCTCTATATATATATATATATATATATATATATATATATATATAGAGCACCAAGAAAAGTTCTGCCATTGTTACCATGTTAAGCTTGTAATATTAGAGGAACTCTTTTTGGTGCTATATAGAACCATAAGCAACACATTCTCCTTAAATCTGAAAACCATTTAAGCATGCAAAATGTTCTTTGAGCGTTTCTATATTTCTATTTATTTGCATAGTTTAATATATTAAAGAAAAAAGTGCAAAAACAACAAAAAAAAATACATATAAAATGTACCATAACTTTTGCACAGGCCACATTTTATGTTCTATTTTTGCCCAAATATGTTAATTCAGCAAATAAATAGCAATTTGTGTGTTCTTTGTAGAGAATGTGTCACCTAAAAAATCATCAAAAACACGGAATTTGACCAAAAGCTCATACTTCTATGTTTATGTATGTATGTATGTATGTATGTATCTCTGTATCTATATGTATCTATATGTAATAATATTTTTCCAATCCTGACCTGTTTTTTCTAGTTTTCTAAAAAGTATACAAAGACATTTTTGTCCTGAAAATGTACAAAAAACAAACAAACAAACACATACATGATCTGAGTTTGTGTTTCGAACTGTTAGATCCTGAAGGGGCACCCAGTCTGAGTTTATGACAGAAAAATCATAAACAAACTGATTACATTTACTAAACTGCAGTCTTCATGTCATTATCTATTCAGCCAAGGCATGTTATATATACATCTACCGCACGTTCTAGGACAAGGGATTTGTTCATTTTGCACTTATTTTACTCCCTTTTCTCCTTCACAGCTACAGCTCTGCCACATTCAGCTCTCTGATGGCTGAGTGGAAACAGTCTGCCTTTAAATCTCCACTCAGAAGATTTTTTTGTTGTTTTTTATTTGTCTGTGCCAAACCTTTGTTGACTTTTATTTATTCATTTCAATGAATACATTTATTCATTGTCAATTTCTGCAGCAGTGCAACAATGACATTTTCCACTGCTTTGTATACAGTGAACACTGGTGTAAATACTTGAGCAGTCAGCACATATTTTACTCAAATTCACTCCTTCTAAAGCTGTTATATGCCAATCTAATTTAGTTGACTGACAATGTAAAACATTGTTTTGTGAAAAGACGGCTTGGCAGGCAAAAATGTAACTTCAAGCTCAACATTCAGCAGCTGCAGTAGCTGCACTGAGGCCTGATGACCAGCAGGGGGAAGCATGATGCAACTCACTAGAACAGCTAACGTACACAATCCCACAAAATAGACTTAAAAATGAATATTTAATTTCTGTGGTAAAGCTGCTCCAGTAAGATATTCTCACATTCATAGGAGAAGAGTGTGGACTCTTACTGTGCTGTTTGAAATTCACCTACAGCTAGAAATCATCTTTATAAAATTTGTATCAAAATACTTTGCCCACGATGTTCTTGTGGCATACTGAAACAAGAGTTAGTGCCACAGACCAGTTAACACTGAAGACCAGCCAGCACCACAGCACACCACAGTTAGCATTCTGTTTGCATCACAGCCCTGTTTACAGTATAGACCTGTTTGCGCCATATTAGTGCCACAGGTCTGTAAGCCACATAGACCAGTTAGAGGTACTGACTTGTCAGAAGAATAGATCTGATAACACTATAGACCTCTTAGCGCCATAGACCTGTTCGCACTATAGACCTGGTAGAGGTACAGACCTGTTAGCACCATAAACCTGTTAACATCACAGCTTCTAACAACACAGACTTGTTAGAAGCATAGATTTGTTAACATTATAAACCTTTGAGCACCATAGACCTGTTTGCTCCATAGAATTAACATCATAAACCTGCTTGTGCAATAGACTTGTTAGCACCATATACCTGATAACACTGTAGACCTGTTAGCGCCACAGACCTGTTAACACCATAAACATGTTAGCGCTATAAACATGTTAGCACTGTAAACCTGTTAGCACCATAAACCCGTTTGTGCCATAGACCTATTAGTGCCATATACTTATTAATATCACAGCCTTGTTAGCACTATAAACCTGTTCGCGCCACAGACCTATTAGCAGCATAAGTCTCTTTAAAGTATAGACTTGTTAGTGCCACAGACCTGTTAGTGTCATAGACCTGTTAGCACTATAGACCTGTCAGCACCATAGACTAGTTAACTACAGACCTGTTTGCATCATAGACCTTTTAACACTATAGACCTGATAGTGCCATAGAGCTGTTAACACTATAGATCTGTTAGCGCCACAGAGCTCTCAACATAGCAGCCCTGTTAGCACTATAGACCTGTTAAAGGCACAAATCTGTTAGTGCCGCAAACCTGTTAGTGCCACAGACCTGTTAGCACTATAGACCTGTTAAAGGCACAAACCTGTTAGTGCCACAGACCTGTTAGCACTATAGACCTGTTAAAGGCACAAATCTGTTAGTGCCACAAACCTGTTAGTGCCACAAACCTGTTAGTGCCACAGACCTGTTAGTGCCACAGACCTTAGCACTATAGACTTGTTAGTGCCATAAACCTTTTAGCACCATAGACAAGTTAGCATCATAGACTTGTCACTGCCACAGACCTATTAGCATTATAGACCTATTAGCACCATAAACTTGTTGGCACAATACACCTGTTAGCATCACATACCTGTTAGCGAAGACAGAGAAGTAGAATAAAAAGGAACAGGACAAAAGGACTAATTTTTTTCTTTGTTTGTTTTTGCAATATTATGCCGCTTGGTTTTTAGTTGGAAAATAACTCGCCATCGCTCTGAATAGAGAACATAGAGAACGCAGGGACAGTTACCTGTATTTAAATGATAACTTATTAGAACCCCAAACAAGTGTCATTAGTGTCCAATCATCAGGAATACACACATTTACTTTTACAATTGACATACATTTACAACATTAGACGGCTTGTGGTAGTCATTGTTTACCTTGCTGAAAAAGACCATGAACACTCAAAGAAGCCTTTGCATGCTTAAATGGTTCTCTGCATGGGGAAACGTTCTTCAGATTGATGGAGAATGCGTTGTATGTGGTTCTATATAGAACGGTTTCAAAAGGGTTCTATGTAGCACTGAAAAGAGTTCTTCTATTGTTACAAGCTTGACATCATAAGCATAGCAGAAGTTTTTGGTGCTGTAAAGAACCATCTACAGCACCTTCTCCATCAATCTGAAGAACCATGTTATCATGCAAAGAACCATTCAAGCATGCAAAGGGTTCTTTGAGTTTTCATTGCTCTATGTAGAACCATTGTCTTTACAAAAGAACCCTTGAAGAACCATCTTTTTTAAGCGTGATAATCAGTACAGGCCTGTTAGCGCTGGTTTTCCTATCAATATATAAAAACTGGACTTTTGACACGTTTATAAATCATTTAACAGAGTTTACACGCTCGCTAACGTCCCTCAGTGTTCTTTATAGCTATAATTAGTAGCAGTTAGCAGTGACACAGTAGCATGCAGAGCTGTGATGGGATACAAGTTCTAAATCAAATTAATATATAGCAACAAAATCTGGTTATGAATACTACTACTACTAATGAATGCAATACAAATACACACTCTTTCAGCTGTTTTTTATTATACATAAGAAAAATAATTAATAATCGTCAAATTAGTGATGATCATTCAAAGAATAAAATACAAAAACATTTTTATTTGTTAATTGTCTTTTAAAATAAATTAAAAAGTTGTTATTTGGATATATTTACATTTTGAGGCCTTTCGTATTTTTTTGGCCCCTCCCAGCCATCACGTGCGTATAGTGAGCTACTCTGGAGCGCATGTGAGCGCAGAGAAGAGCGCGTGCGCGGAGAGGACGGCGTGAGCGCGCTCAGGGCAGCGAATCAGTCGGGATCACATGAACCTGCTTTACAGGTAAGACTGACTCATTTCCGTTCACTCAGTCTGTATTGGTGATGAATGACTGGAGTCGCGCGCTCAGCTGCTCACTGTGATTTCACCTGCACGCTGTTCTGTGATAAGAGTTTCATTTCTGAGTGAGTTTTGTTTTTTCTCTCTGATTTATTTTATTTTAATTTTGTGTTCATCTCTGTTATTCACTGTTTTGCTTGTTTTACTCTCTTGGTGTTTTTTATGCAGGGGGTTACATAAATACTACTAACACTGCTTATAATATTCATAATAAGATTAATAATATTTGTAATATGAAGAAGAATTGGTGGGAAATTGTGTCCCACAACTTCGAGGCCATGAAAATGTGTTCAAAATAAGAATCAACCAACAAAACTGTATCAATTCTCCTTTATTTTTATTTCAGTGATTTTTTTAGTTCTGCTGGGCGTGAAAAACTGTCACAGACCCTGAAGGATTGTTTTTAGACAACAATTTTGATGGTTGTTTAGTTTTTGTGGTTTAAATGCATATAGAAAAAGTTTACATTGTTGTCTGTGAAAATCATTTAACATGCATAATTTTATTGTGATAATAAATGTTGTCCTATGAGTTATTTGTCAGTGGTGTTACACAAACATCAAAAGAAATTCATTCAAAACAGGAAAAACAAAGTCTTTTTAACTGACTTCTCGAAGGGAGAAAGAACAGCTCTGAGAGGTTTGCAGTGCGTTAATTTTTTCTGAATAAATTTGTCTAAAACACTGACTAAGTCACTGGCTGTGTTTACATGCACAGGTTTTTACCAATCCGATTGAATACACTCCATTACAGATTAAGACTGAGGCGTTTATATCTCACTCTGCTCAACACTCTGATTAAAAGCTCCGTTTACATACAAACCACAAGTAACTTGTCCTCACATGAGATGAGACCCTCATGGGCAGCAGAGCAGAGGCTTACTGACACAATCAGCTCTGACAGGACAGATAGAGGAATGGATGCTGTTTGGACACACACATCACCCACATTCATCATCCTGACACACTGCAGTTTACTGAGACGCTTTTCCACTTTTCATTCTAGATAGATAGACAGACAAGTGGATAGACAGACAGATAAGTAGGTAGATAGATAGACAGACAAACAGATAGATAGATAGATGGACAGACAGAGAGACAGATACACAGACAGACAGACAGACAGACAGATAGATAGATAGATAGATAGATAGAGTGATAGCTAGACAGATGGACAGACAGACAGACCTGATACAGTAGTAAAAAGACTATGGGCTGTGTGTTGGTATCATAAAAAGACAATTACACATTATTCTTCATACTGACACATTATGCAAGACATCAGTGCAGAAACATAAACTTTAGAAGATAATAAACTCTGAATCATTTGTGTGTGTGTGTGTGTGTGTGTGTGTGCTGGAGTATGTGAGGCTGTGTGTGTGTTCAGTGCTACGATAATATTCCTTGTGCTACTGAAGTCCCCACCAGCCTCTATACTGTCTGATCAATGAGGCTGTAATTCACTATTGATCCAGCACACTGCTCAGCTTCTGTAGCTCTGCATGCAGACCACACAGGCTTCGGTTTGGTGTGGACAGTTTCAGGAGTTACATCCACAGGCTGATTCTGATGCTGATGACCTTTTGACCTGTTGATATTTACACTGTAAACAATAAAACTGTTGAGCTAAGTTATCAGTTTATGTCCACTCTCCTTGTACCTCCACTGGCTGGCCACTTTATTGGAAACACATACTTTGTACCTCCACTAACTTGCCACTTTATTAGAAACACCCACCTTGCACCTCCACTGACTGGCCACTTCATAAGAAACACCTACTTTGTACCTTTTCTCACTGGCCACTTTATTAGAAACGCCTACCTTGTACCTCCACTGACTGGCCACTTTATTAGAAACACCTACCTTGTACCTCCACTGACTGGCCACTTTATTAGAAACACCTACTTTGTACCTTCGCTAACTGGCCACAGGAAAAGAATTTTCAAAGTACTATTTTAAATTAATCAAATAGTTATATTTGAAGATAATCTTTGACGATTTTCGGGAGCATTGTGAGTGTAGGACTTAAATAAAAACTAGCTTAGCACTAAAACTAGCTCAGCAAACTAAAAACAACCGCTAGTTTTAATTGAAGTTGACAACAGAAACCAAAACGACAGAGCTGAACAAAGTTTACAGAAAAGACTGCAACACGATGGTGAATGACGAAAGTTAAAGTTCTTCAAATTTTCCCTTTCCACCTTAAATGGTGCAGCAGTTACGTTCTAGTGCCTCACTGCTGCACCATTCAAGGTGGAAAGGGAAAATTTAAATATGAAGCTGACGAATAAGAAGTCAGTATCAGCCTTGTGGTGAATGTTGCACTTGTTTTACTTGCAGAAGCTGTTAAATCCAGTCAAACAGAGAGAGACGTTTCTTTTCTTTTGGTACCATGAGGAAAACGGTCAGTTCTTCTGGTGAGTTTCTCCAGTAAGAGTTAATGTGTTGAGTGGGGCTTTGCTTGTTGATGCTTCGCTTGTTTCCAGCTTATGGAGGCAAAATTGAACTCTAAACGCTTCTCTTGTCTTCCAAAATAAAATAAGTCAAACATGAGCACTGTGACAGACCTTTGATGACGCTGCCGAATATCAGATTTACTGCAGGAAACCAATCCGTTCGCATGAACAGTAAGTGGCTGTGTAGAGTCCCATCTGCGGACTCTCCATGGTTCTCTCACTTTAGGTCTTGAGTTTTTTCGAGGCCATTGATGTTTGAGTCAGTAAAACTACAGACTGTCCATTTTTTTTTATAATTGCTGCTTTTTACTGCAATCCAACAGTTTCATTAGTTCAGCTAGTAACTCTGACAGTATTTTACCATCATATCAACAGTAACTATCATTGAAATAAACACAGATGTCTGTGAAATGATCTTTAGCTTTTATTCACTTAAAATTCTGTTTCTGTAAATTAACAGCAGCAGTGTTAAAATACAGTATATGCACAGTTCATGTATGTGCATTTAACCTTTTTTACAGCATATTTAAAGAGCATCCAGATCCTGGAGCTGCTTATTCCCTCCAGACTCTAAACAAGCTTTCTTTAACAGAGAGAGAGTCAGACTGATCTCTCCTCTCGTCTGTTTTCCTTCCTTTCTGCCTTCACTCTCTAAATGTCACTGATATTATCCACATATAACTCACAGTGAAGTGCGGAACGATACGCAGAGATTTCTCCTTTCTGAAATCACCGTGCAGAGAAGCAGGTTAACAGAGCGGGATTATCAGGACGGCAGAATGTTTACTTATTTTCCTATTTATTTATTTATTTATTTTTTTGTTTGTTTGTCTGTCCATTTCATTTGTACATTCTGTTCCAAAGTTCAGAATAATTTATTTTTTTAAACTATATTACCTATTTTTTTTATTCATAAACTGTCAGAAATAAAGGTTCTGTGCAGGTACAATATTTGTTCTTCAATGTACAAACAATGTAAATGTTCCCTCAAAGGTACAACGGTAGTTTTAAGGTCCAGTTGAGAACCTTAAATAAGTTTCTCCAGGTAAAAGTATGTATTTGTACATTTTGATAACCTAATGTTTTAAAACAGAACAATAAAATAAAAAGCCTGGTGTGGCTCCTGATGGGGCTGCGATGCCAGCTGCCCATTCCGATGCCATAGCCATTGCATCCTTACTGGCTCGACGCCTTATTTTATTTCATTGGAAATCAGCTACCCCTCCTACGCACGTGCAATGCGTGGGAGAGGTGATGGCATATTTAAAGTTCGAGAAGTTGAAATACTCAACCAGGAGATCCACCCAAAGGTTCCATAAGGTTTGGCAATAGAGTTTTTTCTTGTATGTGTGTTTGCGTAGGTGCGCTCTTGTTTATTGCATGATTGTATGTGTTGCATGTTGTTTACATTCAAAAAAGTCAATAAAAATATTTGAATATTAAAATAAAAAGCCTGGAGACGAGACGGGGTGTGTGGAGTCAATACAACTTAAAAAATATAATTTCAATGGATTATGGTACAATAATGTTCCCTGACTAAAGGTACTGAGATGTACCCTTGAGGGTTCCACCCCAGTGACAAGAGAGGCACTGCCAACACAAATACAGACATTTTATTTACTATCCAAAACCACCAGTGAACCTACGCGTGTCTTCTGAGTTTTATATGGAATGTTTATGATGGGAAAATAGTGGAAAATCTGAAATAGTGAGTTTTTTTGGGGGACTATTTGGCCTCATAGCTCCCTCCACTATGAATAATAATAATAACAACAACAATAATAGTAATAATAATAATAATAATAATAATAATAATAGGAGTATACATGATAGGAGTATACATGATAGGAGCAGAGATTTGAGAAAATAAAAGCATCAAAAAAAAAGAAAGGGCAAAAATATTTCAAAAATAATAACAAAAGCAACTAAAAGTAGCAAGAAGAATTAATACCAAAGACGAAATAACTATAAGAAATGAGTAAAACAACCACAGGAAAATAAGATATAAAAAAGAATGAAATAGTTTAAAAATAAATAGAATGAATTAAAACTAGAATACACAATTGGTCATGACGTCAGTACATACAATAAGAAAAGCTCAAGTTAAACGATATGTTTTAAGCTCCTTTCTAAAATTGCTAACTGAAAATACTTGTTGTACGTCTTGTGTGACTGAACTATCATAAAACTACATCTCAAACATCAGGCAGCACAGCAGGCAGCGTAGTTTAGCAGAAACTTTGAAATTTTCCCTTTAAAAATTTTGAAATGCTACCAAACCTTGGTTGGGCAGTGAGGACTCTGACAGGTTTAATGTCCAGTTGAAGCCCTGAAGCAGATGCCAGTGTGTTATGGCAACTGATTAAAGCCTAATGGTGTAGCTTGTGTTGTTTTTTTTCAGATCGCTGTGCTGAAATGAAGTCTACAGACGTGGACGCCTCTCTGTTCACAGCCAGTTACTGCAGAGTCTGCAGTGCTCAGCTCATCTCCCAGTCTCAGAGAGTGGCTCACTACAAGGTAAACTCAGATTTAATATTGTACATTTTTAATATCACTGGTTATAAAGTGATTTATGCAGTCGTCACAGGGGGCGCTGCGAGTGTTAAGGTCCCATATCATGGAAAAAAAGTTCCCGTGCTTTTTAAAAATAAAAAAGTTTGATATACACTCTTAAAAAAGATCAAAGGTTCTTTAGTAAAGATCACGGATCTACATAGATTTAGTGCTATACAGAACCTTATTCAACATCTAAAGAACTATCTCACCATTCTATACCATTTTCTTTACTAAAGAACCCTTGAAGAACCGTCTTTTTTTAAGAGTGTAGTGTGTAAACTTGCAATTCAAAACGTCAAAACGTGCAATTCACTTAAAACCTAGTATATCCCTTTTTTGTCATTTTTCATATTTTCTAAGATAATTTGAAAGTACAGCTGCAGTTTCTAGTGGGCAGCTTTTAAAAAAACACACCACACACCACAGCACAGGCTTCTGACTGGCAGAGCAAAGCTGAGTGAGTGACAGGAAACTGAAATTGAACCTGTGCTGTGGTGCTGTGATGTTGGTACTTCACTCCTCTCATAAAGGCCTCGGAGACTCCCAGCTGTCGCTGCTGGACTCAGGTTGTACCTCTGCTGCTGCCGAGTCCAGGCCAATTTCCTCGCGAGACGGATACTTTTCCTACAAATGCAGCATATTGCCTCATCCAAACTCACGGGCTGCCCCTTGTGATTTGGCTCAAGGCCAAAATGTGCCCAAATTGGTGCCTTAACATTTGGCTTAGGAACTAGATTTGTGTCTATTGTTGAATCGAATAATGTCAACTGGCTAGAGTCAACTGTTCAGGCAATAGCACGTCAGAAAAAAAGAGTGTTATTATAAGAACCTGCAATTAAAATCTAACTCAACCAACGGTTGATTTTATGTTTTGGTCTGTGAATGGTGTGTCTATATGTTCAGCTGAACACTGTCTGTAAACATTTTTTCTACAGAAACATCCTCTTTTTTTATCTATCCATACGAGTCACCAGTGTTACCGATCCTCATTGGTGTTACACATAAGAAAGGTAACACCAGAGACAGTAACACCAGTGACATTTTTAATGAAAAATACATTTTACAAAATGGCTGCTACAGAGCATCAAACCACATGTTGTCAAACATGGAATATCCACTGAAATATGTAATTTATTCCATTTGTGTTCTATTTTTTCACAATTACCTAAGAATAAAGTAGGTCACACCAGTGACTTCAACTAAAAGCTTCATGTGAAATCATGAGCTAAAGTGATAAAAAAATTCTGATAACTGAAAAGACACAGTGGACTTACCATGAGCTTTTCTTCATAGATCTTCAGAAAATAGGTAAAAGGAAGTCAAGTGATGTCATCAGTGTGATTTTTATTTCAAAATAAGAGGTTTTTTGTTACGCAGTAACACCAGTGACAGAACTCCTGGGGACAACTTTCATTATGTATTCTATATTTATTTGGCATTTGTTTTCTTTATGCCATTTAAATCATATATTACATAGTCATGTACACATTATTGCAGTTAAAATTGCAGAAAAACATGTTTTTTACATGTAATATGGCACTCACCCTTTACACATGACTGTGACGACAAGCACTTCTGTGGTGCTTGGAATTCTATATGATTGACTTCAAAACCAATGTTGCTAAATTGATGGCTCAAGAAGGTGTAATTGTTAAAATAACTTATTGTTTTATTTTAAATTATAAATAAATTGTAATCCTAACATGTTATTCGAATATAATATATCTGTAAATGCTAGAGACACAAAAATGGTTTCCATAAAATGACTCTACTGCTCATTTTCACTCTTTCTGACATAAATTTTTTTCTCATTTTGCCGGTTTTTGCTTTAATTTGTGTCCATTTGCTGATTTTGCTGGTATGTTTTTTGCTTATGGAATCTTTCTTTTGCTTCAGACATTTGGCACTTTTTTGTGTTTCATTTGGAAAGCTGGTCAGGTTCAAATGACATTGAATTTTATTAAATGAACTGTGTTTTAGCAATCAACGCATCAGACGTTTTAACAATTGTTGCCCCTCAGTCTGTTACAGTTGGCCCCTACCTATGGAGCTCAAAATAGAGTGCAAATTATTATAACATATTATAATATTTGCAGTCTGTTTTCAGCTGAATTGTTCATAAACAGTAGGAGCTGGAAACAAAGTTTGCATTTTAATTTGTAGCAGAGATGCATTGACTGCTTAAATAAAAAATCATCTTGGTCAAATACAACCCCATTTCCAAAAAAGTTGGGATGCTGCAAAATGTAAATAAAAACAAAATGCAATGATGTGCAAATCAATTAAACCCTATATTTAATTGAAAATAGTATAAAGACACCATATCAAATGTTGAAACTGAGAAATTTTATTGTTTTTCGAAAAATATTTGCCCATTTTAAATTTGATGCCAACAACATGTTCCAAAAAAGTTGGGACAGGGGCAACAAAAGGCTGGTAAAGTTGTGTAATGCTAATAAAAACACCTGGTGGTTGATTGGCAACAGGTCAGTATAAAAGAGCATCCCACAGAGGGTCTTTCAGAAGTAAAGATGGAGAGGTGTTCACTACTCTGTAAAAGACTGCATGATCAAATAGTGCAACAATTCAAGAATAACGTTTCTTAACATAAAATAGCCAAGAACTTTGCTTTTCATCATCTACGGTACATTATAACATTTAAAGATTCAGAGAATCTGGAGAAATCTCTGTATGCAAGGGACAAGGCCAAAAACCAGTATTTGCTGGCCATGATCTTTGGGCCCTCAGACAGCACTGCATTAAAAACAGACATGATTCTGTAGTGGAAATCACTGCAGGAGCTCAGAAACACTTTTGAAAAACACTGTCTGTGAGAACAGTTTGTCGCTACATCCACAAACGCAAGTTAAAACTAAAACACAAAGAAGAAACCATATAGAAACAGGATCCAGAAATGCTGCCACCTTCTCTGGGCCCAAGCTCTTTTAAAATGGACTGAGGTGAAGTGGAAAAGTGTCCTGTGGTCTGACAAATCAACATTTGAATTTCTTTTTGGAAATCATGGACACTGCATCCTCTGGGCTAAAGACCATTCAGCTTGTTATCAGTGCACAGTTCAAAAGCCAGTATTCCTGATGGTATAGAGGCGCATTAGTGCACATGGCATGGGTGACTCGCACATCTGTGAAGGCGCCATTAATGCTGAACGATATTTACATGTTTTGGAAACATATGCTGCCATCCAGATGACATCTTGTTCAGGGAAGGATTTGCAGTGACAATGTCAAACCACATTCTGCATGTATCACAACAGCATGGTTCCATATTAAAAAAGTCTGGGTGCTAAACTGGCCTGTCTGCAGTCCAGACCTGTCACCCACTGAAAACATTTTGCACATTATGAAATGGAAAATACAACAAAACAGACCTTGAACTGTTGAACAGCTGAATTTTTTTGGAATGTGTTTTTGGTATTAAATTCAAAATTGGCACATATTTTTCAAAAAACAATAAAATTTCTCAGTTTCAACATTTGATATGTTGTCTTTGTAGTATTTTCCTTTAAAAATATGGTTTACATGATTTACAGATCATTGCTTTCTATTTTTGTTTACATTCTGCACTGTGTCCCAACATTTTTGGAAATGGGGTTGTATTTAAAACAATATTTAGCAAAAAACAAAAAATGTGTTTGTGTCTCACAGTTATTTACAGACTGGACTTTAATGCTGGTGTGTCTCAGAACTCCACAGTCATGTCCAGGCTCTGATTGTCTGCTTGTTTACTCCACAGTGTTTTATTAGTATGGTCAGGCCGGCGTTTCTCTGCTTTATCACTGCTATCAGGTATCAGCACGTTTATGGAGATGTAATGTTTTGGGCTGAAAATCTCGTCTCAGTGACCTCCTGGCTCATTCTGTCCAGTTGAGCGTTCATCCTCCATCTGCCCACTGATCAATACTGCACTGATCTGACCGCTTTAATTCAGTGGCTGGATGGAGGGAGCTGTGACGAACTACAGTAATCTCATCCCTTCAGCTCTGAGAGGAAAACTCACTGTGACAGTAACTAACACAACCTGTATTACTTTCCTCTTCTGCTGAATTAAAGCTCAAATATAGTCCATCAGCCAAGACATGTCTGATGTCTGAATTTGCCTCGTTGCACTCTTTAAAGTAATGGTTCTTTAAGGGTTCTTTAGTAAAGACAATGGCTCTATATAAAACCATGAACACTCAAAGAACCCTCTGCATGCTTAAATGGTACTTTGATAGAGAATGTGTTGTGTATGGTTTCATATAGCAACAAAAGTCGTTCTGCTATTGTTATAATGTCAAGCTTGTATACAATATGTGCTATATAGAATCATTTTCAAAAAGCTTCTAAATAGAACCATCTACAGCACATTCTCCATCAAGCTAAAGAACTATTCCACCATGCAAAGAACCATTAAAGCATACATGGTTCTTTGAGTGTTCATGATTCAACATAGAACCACTAACTTTACAAAAGAACCCTTTAAGAACCATTTTTTTTTACAAAATGTAGCTAAAAAGTAATGGAAGCTTACACTCCCAGTTAGCATGGTGCTAACTGCAGGCCTAAGTCATCACACATGGACCTCAAACTGTGTGGAGGTGTTCAGTAAATAGTCTTGATTATGTGGTTTCTGACACTGTATTACTCACTGTTATCTATTAACATTTCATTATGTTAATTGGTGGAGTATAAGCTACCATTACTTTTTAGCAACATTAGCCTCATAGCTCCAGTGCTAAAACTAACTTCTGACACCAAACATGTCTTGGTGTATGGAGGAAAGAAGTTTGAATTTTGGATAAACTCTTATAGGCTTATGAAAGCTTATTAAATAGCAATTGTTATGAATTATTTAGTATCTAATTTAAGTTATTCAGTATCTACTATGAATTATTAGTATCTAATTTAAATTATTCAGTGCCTCCTATGAATTATCCAGTATCTATTTTAAATTATTCTCTGTCTACTACGAATCATTCTGTATCTACTATGAATTATTCAGTATCTATTTTAAATTATTCAGTATCTACTATGAATTATTCTATATCAAATATGAATTATTCAGTATCTACTAAGAATTATTCTGTATCTAATATGAATTATTCAGTATCTACTATGAACTGGTTTGAACAGATTATACCAGGAAGTGAATGTGGACATTCTCTAACCCTTATAACTGAAGGGGTTTAAAAGGTGTGAAATAAACTCACCTGTTCTGTCTCTCCATCTGTTCCAGAGTCGAAAACATGCGAATAAAGTGCGGCTGTACTACATGCTGCATCCAGTGGACGGAGGCTGTCCTGCCAAGAAACTCCGCACAGATAATGTAAGCCAGTCTAAACAAACGCACAAATGCATAAAAGCCTGTTTAGATCTACGCTAGCATATTGTAGTATTTTTTATATGTGACACTACAGGCTCTGTTTGCTTGTTCCAAATTATTACATATCAGAAAAGCTAAATATTGTGATATTGTGAACAACGCTCACTCAATACTGTGCGAAACTTTATGAAACTACAATTAAGTTGACATTACCATTTCTGTGTTCATCTGCTAAATTCTGTACAGTATGTTTGGCCCACTATCTCCTCTCTGACCGCTCTTTGTGCATGTTTAGGGCAGCAATGATGGAGATGTGGATAAGAATAAGTGCTGCACGCTGTGTAACATGTCCTTCACCTCTGCCGTGGTGGCACAGTCTCACTATCAGGGCAAAATCCACGCTAAGAGGCTAAAGCTACTGCTGGGGGAAACAACCCCCATCACAACCACAGGTAAGCAGGGTGGGGGGCAAATACTTTAAAAGAGTAGTTTGGTGAAAAAACAAATGATTACACAGTCCCTCTCATACTGATCAGCTAAGACATGTTTGGTGGGCCATATTATGATTTAATACAGGGTAGCATGCAACGTTATAATGTAATACAGGGTAGTATGTAATATAATGATGTAATGCAGAGTAGCATGTAACATTATGATGTCATACAAGGTAATATGTAATAATATGATGTAATACAGGGTAGTATGTAATATTATGATATCATACAAGGTAATATGTGATAATATCATGTAATACAGGGTAGCATGTAATTTTATGATGTAATACAGAGTAGTATGTAATATTATGATGTAATACAGTGTAGTATGTAGTATGATGTAAGACAAGATAGTGTGTAATATTAAGATTTAGTGCAGAGTATTATGTACTATAATGATGTAATATAGCTCTTTTTTCTTTTTTTTCTGAAGACTATAAACAATCCATGTATATATTATACTATAATGTACAATTCCATGCTCTCAGAGGTGATCACTCGTATTCACCCTCCAATCCGTCGTGTGATAGCTTTTTATTTGGATTTTGCTCATTAAGATAGAAGCCCATCCACCACGTCAACCTTTCCCTGATTTGTTTATGAAGACTGGACATAATTATATTGAGAGGGATAAAACACCTCTGTAACTGCCACCCGTTTATCTTCATCCCTGAGAGAAAGTGCAACCTGATGCATGCTCGCCACAGACAAATTAGCTCACATGTCTGTTTATGAAACATATTCATCTTGTTAGAGTCCTGCTGTGTGTCTCGTTAAAGAAAAGGCCTGCGGGGAAAGTTTGCATTTCTAATTTGCGCCTGGCGCCCCTGAAGCGCCTCAGACTGACACTGCTGCTCCTCCACCGGCTCACACTGACAGGAGAGGCTGATTGGAAGCCAAACATGTCAGCGTAATCACATCTGCATGTCCCCGCGGCATTAATATGTGTTATTAATGTTGGCGTCTGTCGCCCGCTGCTCTGAATTGTGAAATATTGCCCTGCTTGATGCACCACAAGCTGTCATATAACGCCTGTGCTTTTCTTCTTCAGGTAATTAAAATCTTCAGTACCTATTTTCTTTTGCATTCTCTCTACTTCAGATTTAATCAGTTCAGATTAATAATTTCCTAATAAAATCCTCTGAAGTGCCTGCCTTCAGTGGCTGTGACCCAATCTACTACCTTACAGAGCTCAGTTTAAGCTCTGACAGGCATCGCATTATATTTAACCAACCACTTGCTGAGCATGCAACACAGCCGAGATCTCCAGGAGCATCTTAAAGTGACAGTGTGGCATAAAATCTCAAACTATTGCTTTAAAATGGGAGCTCAGTGTGTTATATTGGAGCTAAACTTGTTTTTTCTCTCCCTGTAGACTCACCAGGCCGGCCAGAGCAGGTGGTGACTGATGTGTCTGTGGTCAGCCCGCTAAGACAGACGCCGCTGTCCCTGCGGTTCTGCCTGATGTGTAAGGCCTGCTTCAACAACCCCGGCATGGCGCAGCAGCACTACAGCGGCAAGAAACACAAAAAGAACACAGCGCGAGCACACCTGCTGGCACAGCTCGGAGAAACGCTGGACACACAGCACACTAACGGTAAACTACACCCTTAAAGAACAGTTCTTCAAGGGTTCTTTAGTAAAAGGAAGCTATATAGAAATGCAAACACTGAAAGAACCATTTATATGCATTTAAGGTACCATAAAGCACAGGTTTGATACAGGAATGGGAGAAAGAGTGTGCACAAGTGAATAGGTGTACTTTCCATTAGGAATGAGGGATAACCCCCATCAGCAATTCTCAGATTCATCCCTTCACTTTTAAAGATAATCTAAAGTACAACTACACCACTGATATAGGGGTCAGTGAGATACATCATCGTGGTTACACTTGATGTATACTCATTTGCAGGGGTACGCAACACCAGTTTCCTAGGTTACACTAGATCTACACCCATTTGGTTACACCACACCCATTCCAAGGTTATGCTAAAGCAGTGTCCATGATCATGCTACATTCTTTCCCACGGTTACACTAGGTCTACACATTTCTATGCTATGGCACATCTGTTTCCATGGTTACGCTACACCAGTTTCCATGGATACGGCTCACCCATTTCTATGGTAATGCTACACTCATTCCCATTGCTAGTCTAGGTCTACACCTATTTCTGTGGTTACACTAGGTCTACATCCAGTTCTATGGTTATATTACACCCAGTTCCATACAATGGCACAGCTGTTTCCATGGTAATGGTACACCTATTTCTGTGTTTAACCTCCTCACCCACGCACTTCTGAAAACAAAACTAAGCCCTTGTGTGTGTGCGATTGCTGATCATGATTTTTAGAGACAACTACAACCCCATTCCCAAACAGGTTGGGACACTGTGCAGAATGTAAATAAAAATAGAATGCAATGATATGCAAATCAAGTAAACCATATTTTTGAAGGAAAATACCACAAAGACAACTTATCAAATGAAACTGAGAAATTTTACTGTTTTTTGAAAAATATATGCCCATTTTAAATTTGATGCCAACAACAAAAAAATGTTATCAGTGGTGACAGGTCTGGACTGCAGGCAGGCCAGTTTAGCAACTCTTTTAATATGGAGCCATGCTGTTGTAATACATGCAGAATGTGGTTTGACATTGTCTTGCTGAAATAAGCAAGGCCTTCCCTGAAAAAGACATCGTCTGGATGGCAGCATATGTTTCCAAAACATGTATATATTGTTCAGCATTAATGGTGCCTTCACAGGTGTGCACATCACCCATGCCATGTGCAGTAATGCACCTCTATACCATCATGGATCACGTTCATTCATCACGTAGATGATGAAAAGCAAAAGTTCTGTACTGTTTTATGTTGAGAAACGTTATTCTTGAACTGTTTGCCCAAGCAGGTGAACCCCTCCTCATCTTTACATCTGAAAGACTCAGCCTCTCTGAGATGCTCATTTTATACCTAATCATGTTACTGACCTGTTGCCAATCAACCAACAGGTGTTTTTTTAGTATTGCACAACTTTACCAGCCTTTTGTTGCCCCTGTCCCAACTATTTTGGAACGTGTTGTTGGCATCAAATTCAAAATGGGTGTATATTTTTCAAAAAACAATACAATTTCTCGGTTTCAACATTTGATATGTTGTCTTTGTACTATTTCCAATGAAATAGAGGGTTTAAATGATTTGTCATTGCATTTTGTTTTTATTTACATTTTGCACAGCATCCCAACTTTTTTGGAAATGGGGTTGTTCTTCATATTCTATAATCTCCTAAATTTCTAAAAATAAATCAGACTAGATTGTTTCCGTGATTGTGTATGTGTTTGTGCGTCTGTGATTGCAAATTCTTAAACAGAATTGAATTTACATAAAATAATATACTAATTTACATATTCTAACACACTCAAGAGGTTCTTTATAATCAAAAGTAAATTGCTCTTATTCTGTTGTTGCACTACAGAAATGTTTCTTTGCTCTTCTTTGCAAGAGTTCAAAGTTAACACTTCTGTCCAGTAAAAGTACAATCTGCTCTGACGTAACTGGTAAATTCTGAGTACTTCGACATTATTTTAGCATTTCAAAGTCCTGCTGAACTCGGGGAGATTTCATGGTCTTTAGTACTGGTTCAGGCAGTCCTTTCATTAACAAACGTCATTATTTAATTACTCTGACTAACGCTAAGCACTGATGAACCTTCCTGCAGTGTAATTACCAACAGCAGCGCAGCACACTGCAGAAGACTGAGCAAACCAGGTGGATTTGCTTCGAGCCCAGATGCGACAGGAAGCTGAGATGGAGTGTGTTGTTGTTTTTAGAAACACTCCTGTCCCCACGTCAGATATGACTCATTTCTGCAGTTTCTGCTGTTTTCATTCATCATTATGTGACAGTTAGTGTCCCTGGATTCCTGCTGCAAATTACAATTAGAATAGAATAACTTCACTGTCACAAGTGTTGTGAAATACACCAAAGGTCTCTTTACAATAATGATAATAATAATAATAATAATAATAATAATAATAATAATGAATAAATTATTTTATATCTTAATAAATTAATAATGTATCACTGCTGTCTGAAAAAGCATGTCTCCTTTTCTAATTTTGAATTTTCTACATAATTTGAGCTCAGCAGCTGTGCTTTACATTGTGTGAAAAATTCATGATGAGTGGACCAATAGAAATGCTCCAAAAGTTGTTGGAATATAGTCTCTTACATTAACTTACACTGAAAGTAAAGAAAGTTTTTGCCCTTTCCTATAATCTTACCATTTTGGAGATACTAGTTTTTCTTTGAACAGTGTCAATATTCATAACTGCATTTTTTATCATTTGTTACTGACATATATTAGCCATTTGCAAAATTAAAACAGCGGCGCAATTCACACATCACAGCTCAGCAGGACCTACCCTGTGTGTCCAGACTGACTCTAAGGACGTTCAGCGAAGATCCAGTCAGTAATCCAGTTCAGAGAACGACCGTTCAGATCCTGCGTTTACCTCCATTTAAATGGCTGACTGCACATGTAACTTCTCCCCTTGTCTCAAACAGTCATCTGATTGACTCAGACGCTGAGTTTAGTGCTGATAATCAGAAATTTAAGCTAAATACATGTAAAAAAAAAACAACTCAAAATGAAGAATGAAGTCATGTTTACTTTTTATATCATTAACATTTAAAAACATTTTAAAAACTCATTTGCCAGAGAGATTTTGGCCACTGGTGTTATCAGGACTCTTATGTTACATTTTAACACAGTATTTTCAGCTTTATTAAACTGCTTCTTTGGGCTGAGGCTCATCAGAGAGGAAGCATTTCAAGGCATGATGCATTAGTCCACACTCCTCACCATATTTCATTAATTTATTAATAAGTTTGTTTATCAGGCAGCACATAACATCTATGTGTCACCGGTGTTATGTGCTTTAATGGCAGGGTAATTAAAATTTTATCAAGATAACGTTATATATCATTTTTATTACTGATTTTAAATAGTTACACAAGGTCACCTGACCACCACCAAGTCAGCCAATTTACAAAATCCTCAGTTTTATCCAGAATGTCACTGGAGTCACAGTCACTGGTGTTACACCATATTCATATAACACGAGTGACTGTAACATATGTTTGGAATTAAGCTCACCTTTTTGCATATATGATCATAGGAGGACACATTAAGATAAGATTTGGTGTGAAAAATTTTGAATATTTTACATTTTTGTGTTGTTTTTTTAGGTGTGTATCGGCCTTAAGGAAGGAGAATTGGGTAAATTTGATGTTTTGCTGAACTCTCACTAATTTAAGTCTGCTGTTGGGATGTAGTGATGATTTAGAGCTTAGAGTTAGCACCATGCTAATTGGTGTACAAAGGCTTCTGTTGCTTGTTAGCTACATTAGCAAACTTCAGACACAGAACGTCTTGACTGAGCGACTCTGGTTTAAGGAGGGAAAATTGGATAAACTTGATGTTTTGCTGAACTCTCACATTACTAACAAAAGTCTGCTGGTGGGAGATGAAGAGAAACGCTGAGGCTGCCTGTGTTCTGTGTGCTGTATTGATTACCCAGGCAACCATGTTAAACAGTATTGATGAGGTGGCCAGTGTGGTCATCTGTTACCCCAGCAATCTGCTGATCCCTGGTGTAATCAGATTCAGCCAAACAGACAAGCTTCCCTTGAGTTTCCAGAGAATAGCCATTATTCTTTATTATATACAGGATCACTATGATTCATACCTTTACACTGGAGCTGGAGGTTGTGTGGGGTCAGTCTAATGACCCTGATGGTGTGACCTTATCTTTCCTTCATATCCTACTATTTTCTTGTGTTTTATTCCCCCCATGAGGTCTACTTATGAGGTTTATGTGGTTTATGTAACAGTCATCATTCATTTCTACTTGACCATTTTACAACCTCTTATAAAAATATTATAATGATATCTGAGCACTTCATTAACTCTAGCTCCTTGTTTCTACACTCCATTTTATCGCCTCCACTGACCACATAGGATCACTTTGTAGTTCTACAGTTACAGACTGTAGTCCATCTGTTTCTCTGCATACTTTGTTACCCTCTTCTTCAGTGGTCAGGACCCCCGCAGGACCCCCACAGAGCAGGTATTATTTGGGTGGTGGGTCATTCTCAGCACTGATGTGACACTGACATGGTGGTGGTGTGTTAGTGTGTGTTGTGCTGGTACGAGAGGATCAAACACAGAAGTGCTGCTAGAGTTTTTAAACACTGTGTCCTCTCTCTGTCCACTCTATTAGACACTCCTACCTTGTCAGTCCACTTTGTACATGTAAAGTCAGAGACGATAGCTCATCTGCTGCTACACAGTTTGTGATGGTCATCCTCTAGTCCTTCAGGACGCTGCCCACAGGTGGCTGTTGGCTGGATGTTTTTGGTTATAAGTCCAGCAGCACTGCTGTGTCTGATCCACTCACACCAGCGCAACGCACACTAACATGCCACCATGTCAGTGTCAGTGCAGTGACAGTGAGAAGTGAATAACTTGTACATAAAGACTGTTTTGAGTGGAAATGAAATCATCTCTGACTGATTTAGCACTCTGTTTATATCAGAAAGCTTATTTTTATCCACTGTGAGTTTGTAACTGAACGTCTGTCCTCAGTGCTGAAGCAGAACCGGACGTGTGAGGTGTGCAGTGTAACTCTGAACTCTGTGGCTCAGTACCACGCTCACCTACAGGGGTCCAAACACCAGAACAAGTGAGTAACAACCACTCACACCATATTTCCACACTGCACAGTCCACAGTCTTAGCCCTTATTATACAGTCTCATGTTTTTCTTATAATATTAAATGTGCATCCACACTATACCACAGCTATACTGTAGTGTACTACACCAAACTGGACTGGACCTATTGCCCCCATTCATCATGAAATTTTAACACATTACGAAAGGACAGTTGTATGGAGCCCCAGAGAGGACAGAGGTAAAAATCTAAAAATAATTCAAGTGAACATTTTGCAGTTTGTACACACGCTTTCTTTTATATGTGGTCACGATTTCTTAATTCATTCCCACGAATAACAATTCATTCTCTTGTTTTCTTTTACTCTAGCGAATGTTTCCGTTACTTCGTGGGTATGTTTTTTTTAATTTGTGATCACGATTTCTTAATTTGTTCTCTTGTTTTCTTTTAGTCTTGCAACCGTTTTCTTTTTAATTGAACATGATTTTTTGGCTTTTTGTATCAACATAACTATTTTTACAGACGTCTTAGACAAGCAAAGTTTAAGTTGTAGAAATCATGCATGAAATGGTTAAGAATTTGTCCTGAAGAACTGAGCTTTGTCTACATTGGCTGTATGCAATGTTTGCTTTATTGATTGACTATCAAACAAATCTGGTGTCATGACCTCACTGACGTGGAGGGGCCATCTGGTGTGTGTGTGTTGAAATAATGAAAGTATGTTCCTCAGGGGTGTATCTGCGGACCCCTTTGGATTAGATCCATTATGGTCCAGTTAAGCCTGCCTCCTGGCACCAAAGACATGGGCCACCCTAATCAGCCATGTTTACACTTCCCTCAGCTATACTGAGCATCAGATTAGCAGGGGAACTACAGCTTAAAGGAAAATTCCATCAATTTTTGTGAAATTTCTGCATAATTAAGATGTACACAGAGTCGTTCAGAGTGGTTTGGTGTGAGATGCTCCTTTCTAGAGAAACTTACAGAGTCAGAATTGTTCACAGTGGTGGTGATAGGAACCAGACATCCACCTCTAAAAGCTCCTTCATAGAAAGTTACTACATGAAATGGTTATGAATACACTGCCTGATGTCTGAGACACTGTTTTATGATAGTTTTGCAATAAGTCTTTGTTCTGAAATGTATATTTATGATCATGTGTTTTTTTCATTCATGGTGGAGGGATACATTCAGGGTGTTGTGAGGCAAAACATTCCCAAAAAAACCCTATTATTTTCAGATTTTCCACTATTTTCCCATCATCAACACTCCATATTAAACTCAGAAGACGTGTAGGTTCACTGGTGGTTTTTTATAGTAAATAAAATGTCTATATTTGTGTTGTAGTCATGGTGACACCTGGTTCCTATCACCACCACTGTAAGGAAATCTGAGTCATTAAGTTTCTCTACGTGAACCACAAAACGCTGTGATTGCCTTAGTAATGTAATTATTCAGAAAATTCGAAAAATTGGTAGATTTCCTCTTTAAGCAAAAGAGGGACGCATACTTGTTTTACTCCTCCCCAGTAGACAGTAATATGTCCAAATTAAGTATTTTGTTCATTTTTATAGTAAAAAGAAATAAACACAACCTCCACAGCAAACTATTATAAAATAACATTTCTCTGCAAATGTCAATACACAGTTGATTAATATAATCAATGAATCATAAAAAAATGGAAAACATTATTATTAATATTATTTAATTAATTATTAATTAAAAAATGACACATTAATAGTGGCATGTGTTTCTAGTGCTGTGATATTCTTGGACCGTCTTGCACAGATCTGCTCAGAGATTTTCAATGATGTTCAAGTCAGGGACTGTGAGGGCTTCAGGTTGTGTTTCTTGTTTTTTGCTGATATTTTGTGGAATCAATTCTTCCATCTAGATATGCAGTGTTTCCTGAGCCACTGGCTGCCACCAAAGCCATAGCATAGTTCCTCCCCCGCTTAACAGTTGGCAAGGTGTCACTTTCATCAAATGCTGCTCCTTTTTTCCTCATTGCATTTTTTACTTCATCAGTCCATAGCACTCATTTCCAAACTGCCTCTTGCTTACCAAAAATGTTGTTTTGCGTACTTTAGACTGTGATGAGGTCACAGGTAAGTTTTCCTTTTGATGGCTCTTTCATGCAGATCATGTTTGTGCAAGAATGCTGCATGACAGAACAGTGGAGCTTCACTCCTGTCTGTGCTAAAGCTTCTTACAGGCCCGTTGCTGTCATATGGGGGTTTTGCTTTGCATTTCTGTCCAGCATGCAAGAGTTCATCTTCCAGACCTTGCATTGATTCCACAGTTCCCCTTAACTGCCATTTCTCACTGACATTTCAGATCTCATGGTTGTTGAGAATAGGCACAAGGCTTAAAGAGTCGGAGAACTTCAGTCTGGAATTGTTATCAACAGATCTCTATCTGAAAAAACAGACTTAAAGAAACACAATTTAGTGAATTCTTTACTCTTGTGAGGATAAAGTGACCAAGCAGTATTACATCATCACTATGTGAACCAGAAGATAAACTGGAATGGTGATGTCTCGGTTGCTATTTGTACAATGTAGGTAACTTTAGCTAGCTAGGTAGCTACCGCTAACATTTTTAATCCCATTTCTGCCCCCCATCCTTATTTATAAGTTAAGCTTCTACAACCAGCATATTAATCAACGTTTTGTGTGTCTGGATGTCGATTTAACTGTATTTTTTCTCTTACAGTTTAAAAAACAAGTGAAGATTAAGTTCATACTGGAGTGCAGAAGAAGTGTTCTCCTACAAATGCTGATGAAATCTGAAAGAGATGTTGGCCAGTGTAAACACACCCACAGTGACCATCACTGCATAGTGATGAGCTGAAATCTGCAGTCTGTTATATATTTTAGCTGCTCTACACTTGTATGTATAGATATAAATTAGACATTTTGAAAAGGTTCTGTCTGTCAAATTGTTAATTCTGTCCATGTAAACAGATGAAGTGCAGTTTTAATCACCATATTGCAGTGTATATTTTGGTGTCCATTATTTTCCAAAAAATAATTTCATAAACACAAGACATATATGAAATTATTCAGCAATACCTCTTTTATGTGAAACAATTTTCAGTGCATTCATATAAAATTCATGTTAGTTTCTTTTTGCCTAAATAAGGCAACTTTAAATGTGTTCAACTCACTGAAAAACATTTGCCTGCAAATTATTACTTCCTCAAATGTCAGGCACACAACAAAAAGTAAAGGACTTTTATTATGACACGCTTTTACGAAAGATGTGCCAAGGTTACAGATTTTGTAAAAATGTTTTGTTTGAGTCGTGTTTAGAACGGTTCAGTTTACCATGTCAGGTGGTCTGACCTCAGGAGAACCATGAAAATGTAGAATTATTATAATAATGTTTATTTATTTGAATAAACTCAAGTTGAAGGACAAAGGTTTCTACAGGTGTCTAAGTAAATGCCTGTTTAATGTGAAATTAGTCTGAAAAGTCAGGCGGCTCAACCAGTCAGTCAGATGGAGAAACCAGATCAGCACAGTTTAATAACTGAAGCAGGCTGTTAAAGCTTTACAAACACAAAGTGAACACAAATAAAACTTAATAAAACAAATACAAAATAAACAAATAAAAAAATAAAAGTACAAAATGTGCCATAATTTTTGCACAGGCCACATTTTATTATTTTTTTTTCTCCCATATATGATAATTCAGCATATAAACAGCAACCGTGCATTTAAACATGCAGAAGTGTGTCTCTGTAGAGGATGTTTAAACTTGTGCATATGACTGAGAATCAACTGATCCTGCCATTGCTTCATCAGATTCCACTGTTATGAAGTAAATAAGATTTGAAAAGTTTTGTATATTAAGCAAAAGTGGATTACAGTTCAGTGTTGAAATGGACTTAACTGACGTTTTACAGCTGCATTTGAACAGATGTAACAGTGTTCAGGTTTTAGCCTCCAGTCAAAGCATTTCATCCAACTCTTCAACTGTTTGTCTTTATTTAATAAAATGCATAAAGCTGTGTTTAAATCTGTTGCTTGTTTTGCGCACACAGGCTGAATGTTTGTTCTGTGAACTAATCAGATTTGAACTTTGTATAACTTTTCATTATACAGGGAGAAACTCCAACATTGCATTAGTGAAGGCCAGTTTCTTTCAGTCAGGGCAGAGTTAGTGATTCTGGGTTTTGGACAAAAGAGAGGAATGGTGCCCCCTGGATGCACTGGAGCCCTGTTAAACATCTCTGTGTATCAAATGGGACAAACACATCCAATATGATTGGTAAGCAGCCACTCACTTACCAGGGCGAATGAAAGGACTGTTGAGTTATTTTAGGCCAATCTGGTCCTACTGTCTGTAATGCTGAGTAAAATAAAATAAAAAAATAATATTTGTTGAATGTAAAAAAAACTGCATGTTATAAAACAGACAGTTTTAATTCTAAAATCTGATCTAAACTGTTGTAAAACACTCGATGTAAGCAGGAGTGCTTTAACCCTGGGTTTCCTTACACACTTACACAAACTGCACAAGCTTAAAGCTGAAGTTAGCTTCTTATCCACCAGGTCCTTTTTCGAGTTTTCCGTTCCACCTTAAATGGTGCCTCAGTTGCATTCTGGGGCCTGTGACTGCTGCACCATTTAAGGTGGAATGGAAATTCGACAGAGAGGCTGGCCAATAGAAAGCTGGCAAGGTTTGAAATTTGCACTTAACTTAAGATGAACTTCAGCTTGAGCTTGTATGTATGAGCGTAGCTCACCTCTTCAGCAGTGTGTGGTACAGTTTACTCTGTAAAACCATCAACACCACCAAAACAACCAACATCTACAACAAGCTCTAGTCTATCGTCTGATCCAGTGGTAAAAGTAGAAGTAAACTTTTGGTTAGGCCTGTGAAAAAGTGCCTGGGCCAACTTGGTAGACACAATTTCCAAACGAGTGGACACAAAGAGACGACACAACCAAGATACATCGTAAAAACCTAAACCTAATCATCGTAGATAAAGCATTCGGCCACAGCGGGCATATAAAATGTTTATTCAAATACTTTGATAGATGTTTGCACAAGGACCCCATATTTAACCTGTTGGAGCCCTTGAATGTCATAAAATCAAAGTTATGAAGGATTGCTACAAAAATAAATTATGTATTTTAAAGCATTACTTATCATGATGTTATGCTGTCATTCTTTATCTGCTTCACCCACAATCAATATTCTTAACTAACTAGAGCTGAAGCACTGCTCTGCCTCAGGGTGGCACTGTAGCAGACTGGTTCACCCAGTTGGTCCTTCATGTTCTAGAAACTGTAACTCTGCCTGGATTCCTCTGAAAAACTTTACAATATGCTGCAGCAGATCTGTAAATCTGAAAACTCGCACAGTTTCCCAAGAGTTTGGTGTAAAGAGTGACTGTTCCTCATTTCTCACACTGAAGACAGAAGAGGAGATGAGTAAGATCTCTGTTAATGTGAGGAAGAGCGCATTACCAAACTAGAACAGAGCATTTACAGAAGAACAACTGATAAAACAAACAATTTGCTGTCATTGAAGCATCAGCACCACTACAGGGAATGAGTTAACAGCCAGCCAACAAGGAACCCCCCGAATACCAGGGGGTGTTTTACACACTGACCGTCTCTTAACAATAATCATAGCAGGCTAAACAGGCTAAGAGATAATAGACATAAAAAGTAAGGAATGGGTTACTTATGAAATGATAATGAAAGAATATAACATAAATGCAGACAGTCGACTAAGACAGGTTTTGATTTCTAGTGTTTGCTTCTTTAGTTTCTTAGTGAAACCACGAGGCTAATTTAACCCCTTAAATGACCAGGTTCCGCCGGCAGGCCCAAGGTTTTATTACACACTTCTATAATCTACGAATAGCTCAGCTAGTTTGCACTGAAGTCCCTGTAGTTACTGAATAATAAGCCTTAGTATGTAATAAACCTGGAATTATAGGAGTTTATAGAATTCCACCCGAAACATTTTGGGGCACATAGGAAGGGCTCTTCTACTGGTTACAGAGTCAAGCTTGTACCAATAGCAGAACTCTTTTTGGTGCTATAGAAACATTTTCAAAAAGCTCCTACTATCCAGTTTCCAAAAAGGGTTGAGATGTGCAAAATCAAATAAAAACAAAATGCAATGATGTGCAAATCATTTGAACTTTATATTTAACTGTAAATAGTACAAAGACAACATATCAAATGTTGAAACTGAAAAATATATGCTCATTATTTCAACTAATTAGGTTAATCAGCAACAGGTCAGTAACATGGTTGGGTATAAAAGGCATCTCAGAGAGGCTGAGTCTTTCAGAAGTAAAGATGAGGAGGTTCACCGCAAATAGTGCAACAATTCAAGAATAACGTTTCTCAACATAAAATAGCAAAGAACTTGGGGATGTCATCATCTATGGAACAAAATATCATCTGTTTGAAAATCTCTGTTTGCAAGAGACAAGGCCGAAAACCAATATTGGCTGATTTTTGCGCCCTCAGGCAGCACTGCATTAAAAACAGACATGATTCTACAGTGAAAATCACTGCATGGACTCAGGAACACCTCTGAAAAACACTGTCTGTGAAAACAGTTCATCACTTCATCCACAAATGCAAGTTAAAACTCTACCATCAAAATTTGAAATTCTTTTCGGCTGACGTGCCTGCAGTCCAAACCTGTCACCACTGAAAATATTTGATGCATTATGAAACAATAAATACAACAAAGGTGACCCTGAACTGTTGAGCAGCTGAAATCCTGTATCGAGCAAGAATGGAAAACATTTCAGTTTCAGAACTACAGCAGTTGGTCTCCTCAGTTCCCAAACGCTTACAGAGTGTTGTGAAAAGAAGAGCCGATGCAGCACAGTGGTAAACATGCCAAGTTTTTTTGTAACATGTTGCTTGTTATCAAATTCAAAATGGGCATATATAAAAAAAAACTAAACCATATTTCTCAGTTTCAACATTTGATTTGTTGTCTTTGTTCTATTTTCAATTAAATATAGGGTTTAAATGATTTGCACATCATTGCATTGTTTTACATATACAACACTTCCTCCATCAATCTGAAGGATGATTTCACTGTGCAAAAAAACATTAAAGCATGCAACTGGTCTATATAGAATTCATGATTCTATGTGGAACCACTGGCTTTAATAAAGAAACCTTGAAAAACCATCTTTTCTAAGTCTGTATACTACCTACGTCTAAAGTCATTCAGATGGATATCACATTACTAAAAAGTCACTTTACATTCATATTTCTGGCACACTCCCCGTCCTCCTGTACTAGCGGTGTTGGACAGCAGAGGGCGCTGTTTCCTGTCTTAAAAAAACACTCTTTCTTGCTCTCTTGAGCCCGAACGAGGAGCAAGAGACATAAGGCCATTATTACAGACCCTACATACATACATCATCTAAACCGCTTATCCTTCTGGGTCGCGGTGGGGTGCTGGAGCCTATCCCAGCTGTCATTGGGCGGAAGGCAGGATACACCCTGGACAGGTCGCCAGTCCATCGCAGGGCAGACAGACAGACATACACAGTCACTCACCCGGAGGAAACCCACGCAGACACGGGGAGAACAGGCAAACTCCACACAGAAATGACCGTGGTCGCCCGGCCAGGCCATTCTTGTTGTGAGGCGACAGCGCTACCCACCACGGCACGCCCACTATTACAGACCCTGATGAAGCCTAATCTTAGAACAAATACGACTTTTAATGCTAAAACATCACTAGCCTTTGAGCCTAGGCTCATAATATGTTTAATCCATGCCCATGAAAAAAGCCCATAATACACTGTATGGCCAAAAGTTTGTGGACATCCCTCATAATTATTGAGTTCAGGTGTTTCAGCCACGCTCATTGCTAATACGAGGATAAAATGAAGCACATAGCCCTGCAGTCTCATTAGACAAACACTGGCAGTAGAATAGGTCATACTGAAGAGCGTAAACGTGGCACTGTTATAGGATGCCACCTTTGTCACACATAAATCGGTGAAATTTCTACCCTGGTTTCTCACTAGTGCAAATGGATCAGACCCTAAAATCCTGAACCAAAAACATCCAGCCAACAGCGTTGAGTGACCACTGATGAAGGACTAGAGGACGACCAACACAAACTGTGCAGCAGCAGATGAGCTGTCGTCTCTGGCTTTTCATCTACAAGGTGGACCAACAAGGTAGGAGTGTCTAATAGAGTAGACAGTGAGTGGACACAGTTTGTAAAAACTCTGATCTGATCCACTCGCACCAGCACAACACACACTAACACACCATCACCACATCAGTGTTACTGAAGTGCTGAGAATGACCCACCAGCCAAATAATACCTGCTCTGTGGGGGTCCTCACTGAGAAGAACAGGGTGACAGAGTATGCAGAGAAACAGATGGACTACAGTCTGTAACTGTAGAACTACAAAGTGCTCCTGTATTTTCAGTGGAACTGATGAACTACTTTAAGTAGCTTTATTTAACCAAACTAGATTTCTCTCTAGGGTAGCTTTGCTGTTGTTCAGCATCTTTCAGCATGAAGTAATTGGCAGACTGCAAAGCTATGCTTTCAAACTAGCTTGATTAAATGACTG